CAGTTCGCAATCCGAGAACGAGAACGCTAGCTAAGGCATCGGCAAAACACTCGACCCTGCCATGACTCGAACCTTGACCCAGTGAGAAGAATCGTAGCAAGAGTGCTAAAGATTGCACCGCAGAAGCCGCTTTGCACCCTGGACCCTTTCTGCTCGATGGTTGCCGCTACGGCCACGGTTTATGTGCACATACACTCAATGTCATGCCAAAATAGCTGTTGAAGAAGAAGAATAACATTTTAGGAGTGTACAATAATACCTCAAATGATCAACAGCGGTGTATCCCGACCCTATCAGAGCAACTTCAGATAAAAGACGAGGCAGCAATTGAATGAATTTTGGACGTAAATCCGAGATGAAAAAGAACTTCAACGTGATCAGCACGTCTCTGAAAATAAGGTGAAAGCATTCATTCTAATCAGAACAATGTGGAAATCTCAATGCTCTCACTTTCGAACAACAATCAGCTCAGCAGGGCACTGTTCCAGCAAAGAAAGAACGCCGTTAATGAATCTATCGCCGTTTGCTAATATTTGCTCCATGAACTGAAGATAACTATGTTGAGCAGTTTTTCAAAAAGTTATGAGTTAGTTAGGGCTTACTTCTCTGATTTTCCCCATAATGCTCAGATAAGCAAGCATCTTCGATTGAGCCGTGTAAAACTCATCAGCCAATGCTTTGTTGTATTTCTCGTCAGCTTTCTGCTCATTCGAAATTTGTATACCCAAAAAATCAAGACAGCAAAGCAAGAACTCCATCGCCTAAACGGGTACGTCTGTTCGTGAGGGTACACAAGAACATGTTGAATGGAAACCTACTTCGGTTTGAACACCAGCTTTATGATGTTGATATAAGAAAATGACGAGCATGGGAATATCTTGGAAGGCTTTCAGTGATTGACTGGCTCGTGGTATTAGATTGTACTGAAAATTGACTCAATTTGGGTCATTAATCGAAATTTCATCTTACACTACAAACAAATGGATTTTAAACTTCTTATAAAGTGTGGCCCAACAGTGCAGACCGGCTTCTGACAACACCACGAACAGGACACGCCGTAATTTTGCTAAGCTGAGGATAATTACGTGAATGACTGAAGTTGGGCTGAATTCAAGCACTCCTGTCTCGTGCATGGTCTACAAATAGTTTAAATGGGGATCGTGCTTGGTCTAACATAAGAATGTTCTCAAATGTTGACTTTTCCTGGTTTTTTTCTGCTTCAAGTGTGCCACATACCCCCCCCCCTCCTCCTTCCTTCTCGACGAGTTTTTGGAAGGAAAAGAGGGAACATTCCATGCGAGGAAAACTATCGAGAAAGTGTTTAGGAAGTAGCAGGCGTTCAATAAGATGGACGGTTGAGATGCGGGCGAGGGCGATTTGGGGAGGTTACTTATTGTAGAGAGTCATTGAGGAATTCTATTGTTACTAGTTACTTTAAGCGACGCGACTTACTGCAATGCACCTTGCCTTCGCTAAGTCAAAACAGATCAGCCTTCGCGTAGGCGACTAATTATCGAGCAGTTACAGCAACTGCAGATAAAGAATGAAGACAATCAGTCTGATCATCATTATTAGGATGCGCTACAGACTCTACTTTTATTTAGAACCGCATTGACCTTGAAAGCTTTTGAATTATGTCTACTGCAGAAGGTTTGGCCCGACTGCGGTCGTTCATATGAGCAACCAGTACTTGAGGAAAAATCTGTGTCCTCTCCAATATTCTCCTTATCCTTGCAAATCTACCTTCCTTAACTCAAAAAGTTACAATATTCGGTACCGATCAAGCTTTCTGGGATGAGCAACGCACCTATTCCCACTTAGGGTTTTTGCAACACTAGAAAGCTCATTTGAATGCTTAGACTAAACCTCGCGTAGAGCAAGCGCACGGTGAATACAAACGTTGGTTGCCCAGGGAAGATTGGACCGATCCCATACACAGGGAACAGCAAGAGGTAATGTTGGGTTCCATGCTGAAAGCCACACTCGTGCAAATTATTTGAAGCACTGACTTTCCTTGATGGCTCATGTAGGTCCGTCCTATTACGTTTGCCTGATTCGATTGCATAAAGATCTATCGGTTCGCTGCGGGAGGGGCATGTCAGGGGCGGGGGAGGGTGGCGGCGCCAGCTTGTTCTCCACTGGGAAAGTTGGCAGGCGAAGTTGGTGGAGAACAGATTGGAGCTGCGCCAAATCCAGCCCCCCGACACGCCCCAGCATCCGCAGCGAGTGAGACTGTAAATATGTCATGTTAACGAAGATGTCAAATTTACGAACCAATGTGTCCAAAGTCCCGTTTGGAGAGTAAAGAAGAGCTGACTGTGTATAGTAACACTGTTGTAGGTACTGAAAATTACAGCCATATTCAATTTTCAAAGGATAACAGCTAAGAGATTCGCCAAATAAGCTACATTTTCAATCATTGCTTCCTCTGGTAGCTGGACCGTTGGATGCGTCAAATCTATAGTGTCAAAAGTATGCGGTCTTGACAGAGTGACACACATACATTTCACCCACTGCTTGAAATTTTGCAGCATTACAGAAACCTAAACAGGCCGATGATAATAGCTGTCAACACTCGCTATCAGCAAAACTTCCACAAACCTCGGGAATAAGATGGGAGCGAGCGATCTTACTGTGATCAACGACTATTTTGATAGCAAGTATGGCGTTTTCCTCGTTCTCCAGCACGATAATCCGCATCATTTGCTTTTGTATTTCCTTCGACAGATTTTTCACTGGTTCATGAGCACTAGTTCTCAGGATCATTTCCAACATCGCTTTCCGCAACATCTAAAAGCTGGTGAAGAGTATATGCTGTTGTACTGCGCCTTATTATCAGCTATGCAACATTCTCACAAAAAGGATAAAAGCCGAAGCTTTGGCTGCAAATCAACCCTTTCTTAAGGTCGGTACGCATTATAATTCCATTTTGAAGGGGTGGCCTAAGGCAATTCGACATGGCCTATACAGTGAACTGCAGGGGCAAGTCGATGTAAACGTCAGTGTTTTCATCCTCCCTGACGGATCTGGTACCGTTCCCTGCACTGTAGAAGGCTTGACTGACCTGCGCGAGAGGCAGTCCAGATTGACTTCAGGATCGCGCTTGTGCTAAGCTGGCCATTAGCCACTGCACCACCTCCTCCGCATTCTTCTAAATACCCGGCTAATTGGGGCTTTTTCTAATCTGAACTGACTGCAGTATTTTTCGCTGCGGACGCTGGGGTTTTCATGAGGTACTGGGTTTGGCGCGGCGCCAGCCTGTCTGCCACCAACTGTTTAAGCAGGCCGGCGAAACGTCCCAGCGTTTGCAGCAAACAAGACTGTAGTACTGTAGCCATGGGCATTCATGCGACTGCACAGCTAAACGGCAGATTTTCCCTTGTGAAACTAT